CTTTGAAGATGTTCTTTATAGCATACTGAACACATGCCATTTGTACGAGGGTTTCCATAAAATCCGCAGCCAGTGGAACAAAGCATAGGCACTTGGCTGTGATTAGTTTCTTGAGCCATGTTCCTCTGTTGCACACCTGAAATTTATATAGCATTAGCAAAGAACTCAGACACAAAACTTCAATTATACATTATCCAATAAAGGAATAAGCCAGATACATCATCCCCCAAACCACTCTCTGTAACTGTCCCAGGACCTGAAACTAAAGAAAGGGAGAAAAAAATAAAGACCAAAAGGACACATGCTGACCTTTTCTACAACCTACTCTACACAAGCAGGTATATACAGGCTCAGAGAGTATAAAGAACTTCTAAAAAAAAAAAAGCCATCACTAGGAGATTAAGGAAAACTTATACCTAGCTCAGCTGGCTTCTGTCAGTAATAAGAAATACACATTGTAAGTGGTGCTCTATGTTACAACCTTTGATTTCTAAGTATTTAAATTTTTGCTGAAAGTTCAAGAGATAACTTGTACACAGCATATGTATAATGATAAACTGAAAATAGCCTAAATGTCTAACATTAAGACAATGGACTTTTAAAAAGTATTATGCATATTAATGACAAAAGTTACATAGTCAGTATAAATATACTGGTAGTTAAAAACCCAAGGGACCTGGATTAGAATACTTTTGGATGGAGGAACACCATGATAATGAAAAGGCACAGTATGAAATGTATATACAGTATGTTGCCAATTAGGAGAAAAAGGAACATCTATTAATCATCAAAAAGGGTTAGTAAAGAACTTGTCCAAGGACAGAAAAGGTAGCGACCTTTTTTCCTAATTTGTATCTTTTTTGTACTTTTGAACTTCTCTAAAATGAAGGTACTACTTGCGTAACTGGGGGAAAATTTATTTTTTAAGTACTTAAAAATTAAAATTAAAATGAAAAACTAATACGACAGCATTACTCAGCCAGGACAGCAATGCTGGGGACTGAGGAACTATTTGGGAAGTACATTAATAATCAATTACAGCAGATGGAAGAACCTCATGTGTCATTTCTCCCACAAAACAACTGGTTCTTTGACATAAATAACACACCAAAAGCACTAACAGGCTCTCTCTCTTATTAAAAAACAACTTCCTAAATGAAGGTTACTCCAAAATGGGTGTATACATATTATAGACAGGTCTATTTTCAAAGATAAGGAAGAATGAGACTAACCAAAGTGGGGAAATGTTTTCCCAATGAAATTTCCTTGAATTGATAAACACCTAAAGAAGCATTTCACAGTTTATTGTGACCAGGTTTCTTTCTGCCTAAATTATGTGAAGAATGTTGAGGGGTAGGGAGGATTTAATGAAAATCCCACAACCAAGAGCATTAATTCTTGACTGCAACAAAGCAGCAGGCATTTCTTTTGCTTTTAAAGAAAAGTTCTAAAACTGATAAGATTTAGACCTTTAGCCTAGAAATAATTAGTTTGGAATTTTGATAAGGATCTTTCTTATTCCTTTGATAAGGAGTAACTGATAACAAGCAATTTCAGAATCCAGATTCTCCCTCTAGGATAGGCCTACAAATATACCTACAAAAAGAAAACAATGATGGTATTTGAAAAGCTTATGTCAAGTATTTTTTTTTTCCTTGCCTATGTTCATTAAGGATATTGATCTACAGCTTTCTTTTTTAGAAATGCTTGTCTGGTTTTGGTATTCGTGTCTGTCTGGCTCAAGGCTATGCAGCTATTAATAAGTGACAGGGCTGGGATTGGATCCAGGTAGAGTGGTCCTCAAAGTATGGTCCATAAATCTCCATAAAAGTCAAAATTGTTTTCAGGACAATACTAAAAAGTTACCTACCTTCTTCACTGTTATGGACATGAACACTAATAGTGCTGCACAAATGCAGTAGTGGTAAAAAGAGCTGAAGCCTCATCAAGGAGCCAAATTAAGACAGTAAGTACTACCAACTGTACTAGGAGTTGTAGTCTTCACTGCCATGTTTTCATAGTAAAAATCATTAACTTTATTAAATCTTGACCCTAAACATATGTCTACTTAATACCTTGCATGATAAACTGGGAAGCAGGCAGGAAACACACCTGCTGCACACAGAAGTGTGATGGCTATAGAAAGAGCATCTGTGCAGCTCATCACACGTTGTCAGCTGAATCCCCTTTTTAATAGGGCATGTTCTTTTTTATTTGAAAGAATGATTAATAAACTGATTATGCAAACTTGAGTGTATGTATTATGGCAAGCATGTTCTTGGAAATGAATGAAATACATTTGTTACTTCAAACAACTAATGGTATTCATTATCAAAGACAATACTCATGTGTTCGAGTAAAAAAACACTTAATAAGCATCTCAATATTTTGAAAGTTTCTGGTAAGATCAGTGGTGATATTAATGAAATCTAATTAGGAATCAACATTTTAAAGATATTCATGAGACAGTGAGTGAACAATGTATGATGATTCAAAGTAAAAGACAGACCAATGGGTTTTAATATAAGACCAATGCATTTTAATACAATAGGACATAAAGTTTTTACATGGTGTCTCAATTCACATCACAACTATCCTTTAACAAATTACCAATTATCAAGTTTTGGTATATTATCAAAGAATACTCTCTATTATCTGAAAAGGTAATTAAAATATCTTTCTTTTTCCAAGTAGGGATTAGCCCAGATATTCTTTCCAACACTGTAACAGACTGAATACAGAAGCAACTATGAGAGTGTTGCTATTAAGCCAGACCTTAAAAAGATTTGCAAATACACGTTCACAATGTCAACTCTTCTCACTGAATAACGTAGGTGAGGGGGAAATGGTTATTTTTCACAAAATATTTTAAAACTAGTTAGTGCACATATCTAAATTTTTTCTCAGCTTCAATATGCAGTATGATAAATATCACTAGCTACATACATATAACCATCATCAATAAAAGTTCATGGTATTCAAAATTTTAGAGAATATAAAGGTTCTAAAACTAAAAATTTTGAGAACCCACTACTATAAAATACGCATTCTCAACACAGGCAGTAGAACCTCAAGGGAGCAAAAGAGAACAAAAAACTCTTAATGTATAAAACACAGATACACAAAATAAGCAGATATACATTGTATGTGTGGAAATAACAGTAGGGGGAAAAAAAGTCTAAAAAGGCCCCTTGAGGGAAAAAAGGTTGAAGAACTCGAATCTAAACCACCAACTATGGTATCTTACTGCCTACTGGTAACATTACAATGACACTCAGAGGGAACGAAAGGAATCTCCCCACTGATATCAATGTGTCTTTTGGCATACAGCTGGCAATCACAAACAGCCAGAAGAGATAAATAATCCATTTCTGTAAAAATGTAAGTATTCAAGAGATAAAAAGTACAATAATACTTACTTCAGAACAAATTTCAAAACCATGTAACACTAGCAATTTTCCCAAGCCAAACAAGCTGCCTGCACAGTAGCAAATTAACAATTTCCATAGCTCAACAGACACAAAGGATCTCATGGTATACTTTTAAAAAAAGAAAAACAACCTTATTTATTCATCTGTAGGCCATAAAATGTACCTTTACGTGAAGTTTCAGGAAGACCAAAGACCATGAAAAAGTAAAATAACTTATTTTTATCTGCATGTCAATGGCACCTATTAAGAAAATGAACCCTGGCTCCCCTTGCTACTGTCCTTTTGAGCAGGTAAACAACTTGTAAGGCACATCAGTCTGGCATTCAAATGATCAGGGGAAAAAAGAAGAAAAGAAGTGATAAACCAGAACAATTCCTTAACTGCTTCCTTGAGGGATTATAAAGTCACAAATCCTAGGAGACAAAAGAGTAAGGTTACTCTACCAGACATAAATTATCAGCATGAAATAATCAAGTCAATGAATTGGAGAGGATTCATAAAATGTGAATTCTGACTTCATAACATTCATAAGAAAATCACAACCTGTTCCTCCCTCAAGCAGCCTAGATAAACTTAACAGTTATTCAGAGTTTACTATGGGCCAGAAACTGTTCTTATTATTTTACTTACATCGCAATCAATCTTCCCCCAAACCCTTTGATTTAAAAAGGAGACTCAAGAAGACAGCAACTTGCCCAAGGTCTTACAAGTAAGCAGTTCAGTGTCTTATGATAAATCTAAAAAACAACAACACGACTGTCAAAGTCCATTATATCCCTATGAATCTAAAACTTTGTGAACATTCATGAATTCTTATTTCTTCCTTTTAAGAATTTTAAATTTTATTCATTTATTCAATCTTAACATAGTATGCAGCTTTAATTAGCTATAACCATGCTCCTAGAAAAACTTTCATTTATATGTTTTTACCTAAGAAGTTATCAGCACAAAAAATTCAGGATTAAATTTTTTTTTTCCCAGTTTTTTTGTGGGGGCCAGGGCTGGGTTTGAACTCCTTGAGCCACAGGCGCCACCCACAGGATTAAATATTTTATGTCTGCAAAGAAAATTCATTACCAACTATTAAAATTCTGATAAAAGAACTACAATGAATAAATGTAACATACACTCAATTATAATAGCAAATACAAATCAATTAAAATTACTGTCATTTGCTTTTACTCCCTAGAGTTAAGTCACCAACACTTTTCATTTTGAAATGTCTCATACTCTTTTATTTGCCATTCCAGCTGTGGTTCTTATCACTTCACACCTGGGTTAATTTAACAGTTTTTCTTTCTGTTTTATTGTCTCTCCTTTCAATCCACTTATTTAAGTTCTCCTAAAACACCCAGTTCTCATTATAGTATCCTTTCCACTTTAGTTATTGTAGAGTAATTGCATCAGAGAGGAGTACTCAACCGAGCATTCATGCTTTATATATATATACTTTACCCAAACAGCATTTCCCTGGAAATCAGGCTGTGTGCAAACAGCATAAGCTTAGAGTCAGGTTGGCAGCATCTAAATCCCAGCTTTGCCACCATTCTGTTATCTGTAAGAGTTTGGACATGTCACCAAACTTCCCCAGTGTCATTCTCTAACTGGGAACTTATTAGATCTACATAACCAGATTAAATAAGGCACATAAAAAGCATCTAAATAATGCCTAGAACATAAAGGAAGTTCAGTAACCTTTTTACTC